TGCTAAGGCAAGCAGTTGCGGAAGAGGAAGCTTTAATACTGTAACTATTTTAGTTTAAATTATTCCTGTCAGAGTTCTTGTCTTACTATTAACATGTTAACGTTTCAAGAGTTACATAACCAGCCTATTAAATTTCAGGTTCAAGCTGCTTCACCATACTGTGTTTCTTTCTCACAGCACAGTGCCAGCTCTTGTATGTCAGTACACAAATGTTTCAGAGGCTAGTGGGAAATTGTAAAGTACTCAATCAGGGAGTGGCATTTAACTTTTTTGAAAGGTGTAGAGGTGGATGTTTGTCTCTTAGCTAGAAAGGCATTTTTTCTCCTTTTAGTGTCAATTCCCATGATGAATATAAAGGCATTGAGGATATGTAGACTTGCTCTCTGATAATATTTCGTACGTTACAAAACCCAAAGACATTCATTTAGTATAGCATAAAGATCTATACCGTTCAAATCCATGTGTTAGAGTGAAGAATCCATATGACAAACCCTTCCAGAGATGAAACTCGATCCCGATAAACATATAGTCTGTTCTGGTATCACATTTCTCTAATGGAACGAATGATATTGCTGCAAAGAATCAGATTTTAAGGTACTAATTGCTGACTTGTATAATTGTAATGCAATCAGTAAACTGTAATTCTGAGAAGGAAATGTGCAGCAGCTAACACTTAAAGCCTAATTAGCTCAAGATAAGTTGCATCTATCAAGTACAAAATTAAACTTACCAGAACACAAAAGGAGTATTAGAAAACAAAGGCAGTATAATGAAAACTGTTGCTGTGTATACTGAAAGCTGGATGATTAATGATGATGGTTTTTGGATCAAATCACCTTGAAGCTCTGGAAGAACTACACTCAACAGAATTTTAGGGAAAAAAAGCTACATTTGGCAACTTTAATCTTCCCCTCTTCTGCTTTGGGAGCTCTGTTTCTAGTGGTATAGTGATCGTGGCGTCTTTGATTTAGCCATAGCTCTTGATCTTTTTGGTGTGTTATGCTAGCTAGAAGCTTTCCCAGTTGCAGTTCATCTTACCCTAATTAGATGCTGACATCCCTATGTTCATTTTTTCTCAGTTGCACTGGACTGTGGAAATGCAGGATTTGCAGTCTCTGTTCTTCCTGGCCTTCAGCGTAAAAGAGACTAATTTTAAAGATGGTATGAAAGTCTCTTGCTTTTGTGGTTTTAAATCCGGTTAAATGTTTAAATACTGTATGTTTGTGGTTTGAGAATGTTAAAATTTAATCGAACTGCTTTCTTATTAAGACAAGGCTTTACTGTGAAGCCATTTATTACAGGAATACATTGACTGTTGTGTGTAAGAATAAGAACAGCCTAAGTAAAAATGCCTAAACAGTCCTGGGTACCCTGTCTGCTCATTCCTTAGGAAGTAAAGTATTCTTTGTTGCTGTTTAATCTGTTCGAAACCTGTGAATGTTCTGTTCCTCTGAACATTCAGCTTTCCAACTTCGGGTAGCTAATTATATTGTTCTTTTCCAAATAGAACAAAGTCAATTCATTCTTCCTTACCATGGAACAAATTCATGAGTCAATCTGTTTGCTAGTCAGTAAACACTTCTGAATGTCAAAACAGATAATAGTGTAATTTTCTGGTGTTCACAATGCCTAAGGGAAGAAAGGTATCTTGAATCATGTTGTTGAATCTCTCACCTCCTTCAAGGAAGAGGATGATAAAGGTGTGGAGGAAAGGAAGATAAACAGATGTGGGGAAAGCTCTTGCGACTTGACTTACCGAAAAATACTTTAAAATAATTGGTGGAACATAACATGAACTGAAGAGGTGGGGAAATAGAAGGTCATTGTTTTGCTGTAGATTTTTTTTTTTTTTTTTTTTAACAATGGGTTTAATTTTATGAAGGTATAATGGGAGCAATACAAAAAAAGATGGTCATTTATCACTTTCCTTCTTTTGAGTGTAACCTTTCCTGGCTTAGGGCAGTACTGGTTATAATATGGTTGTTAATATGGTCTTAATTGCAAAGAAAGCAGGTACTTTTGAGAGAAGAGGGAGATTTGAGTCTTAACTACAATATATAGAAGGTTTTCTACATGTGGGTGCAACACGTTTATGGAAGAAATAGATCAGGGTAAGGGCTTGTTATAACATAGTATGCGAGACTTATTCTGTAGGTGTGAATGTTCTGTACTGCATGCTGTTGAGTCACAAGCCTAATGTGCTGTCACCTGTTTTATGCATTTCTTTAAAGTGGAGGTTATTTTGAGTTTATGAACTTAAACAAAAACAGCTGGGCACAGAATACAAGTGTAATTGCTGAAGTAGTCCAATCAACTATCCATCCAGGGAGTGAATATGCTACAAAAGGCTTTTGTGAACTTGGACTAATCATGCTCCATAAAAGATTTCAGAGTAATGTGTTAGAAACCAAGCTGACAATTTTAAAGTATTAATTGCTTTTAATACTGTTTGTTTTTGTTTTTTAAAGTGTTGAAAATCCTTAAGTATGTTTAGACCTAGTAGAATTGCATTTTTATTTTGTAATATTTTCAACATATTTAAAACACTTATTTACACTTTTAAGTTTTCAGGATTGAGTACAGCTGGAGGTGTGGGGGGCAGACAATTATTAATGGCAATATACTTTTATTATAATGCAGGTTAACTGCCCACTGCGACGTAACTATCATAGGCCTGCTGCCAGCCGAGCAGCAGAGCTGCCATCAGTCTGCTTTGTCCCTTTTCTTCCTTTGTTCCCAGTTCCCTGGGGCTTCTGGGAGTTCACGCTACAATCAGCACAGTTCTATAGGACTGCTCCCCCATCCTCACACATTACACCAGCCGTCGTTTTTTCTTGCATCCTCTTTCTGTAAATTTTATTTATTAATGATGGAGATATGTTTTTAATTGGTCTGTGAGGTGGAACTGATGTTTATCAACAGTTCCCAGTAAAAATCAAATCCTACCAAGCCTAAGTATGTTCAAATTGGTCCGTATTCTTAACACATTTTTTCCTGATATTTTTTTTTTTTTTTTCCTTTTCACCTCAACCCCTTTTTTTGGTAGCTGCTGTGCATGCCCACTTACTTAATTTTTTTTTTTTTTTTTATCTTTCAGTTCATTTATCTTAGAGCAGTTCAGCACATTAAAACAATGCCTAAGGACTAATGTTATTCTGAATCTGCAAAGAGTAGTTTAGTTTGTTCTATGGTTTATGGTTTTGGGTGTCCCCAGTGCTAGGAAGCTCTTCCAGGCTTTGTTTTCTTTTGGTATGTTAGCATTTCTTCTCTCCTGTTTCTAGTAGGAGTATTGGAGAGCTGCAGCCATGATTGTCCAGCAGATGTGTTGGCAGCAATTTTTTATTTATTTATTTATTTTTATTTTTTTTGTGGTATTTTTTTATTAGACCAATTGGTTGAGACCATTAGACAAGCTTCTGGGCACAAAGTGCTTCAGCGTTTTATAGCAGGAGGTCATTTTCAAATATGTGGAACTTGAAAAGTGTCTTGAAGGTGGCTATACAAAAAACTAGAACTCTTGGTTCCAAAATGATACCTTTTATTAGACCAACTGGACCAGTTGGTCTAATAAAAGGTATCATTTTGGAACCAAGAGTTCTAGTTTTTTGTGTCTTTTTGTCTCAGACCAACATAGCTACCAAGTACACCCTTGAAGGTGGCTAGGCTTTCATTCTACTTGGAAATAGAGGTGCTGAGTTTGAAAATAGGGAAGCAGGAGGATGAAAAAATATGATGTTTGTTTATGTATATGCACACAAATTTTACTCCTAACAAAAAAATAGTTTTATAGGAACTCGCATTTAAAAAAAGGGAACCCTCCCCCCTCCCCCCCCCCCCCCACCCCACATAGACTGACACAACAGAAACTGTATTGGGAATGAGAACCAGGATAACTAACCAAATCCAGTGTTCACTAATACTGCTGCTTGTCCTCCCTGAACCCTCTCTTCTGTTCCAAATGTTTTCCATAACACAAATATGCTGAATTTTCCTGTCCAAATTTTTAAGGGCACCTGCCCTAGCTGCAGGTAGTACTGTCTGTTTTGTACAACAAGAAGCTATTTAAATAGCCAGAGATCAGCAGAAGTATATAACTATAAATTTGAGTTAAGTTGGAGGTGCTGGTGTCCAAATAGTAACAGGCTGACATGGAAGGTAATAATATAGGTCAAATTTTTTTTAAAGATTTAAGTGACTTACAGTAATTTTTCAGTCGTGGCTGTGTATATTTAAAAACGCACGTAATCAGACTAATAAGTGGTATGCTGAAATAATTAGCAGTCATCTGTATACTTGGGAAAAGCTGTTAGTGAAAGGAATGGTTTTGGGACCTTTTTATTAGGTATTTGGAAAATGTGTGGAAACTCTCTCATGCCACTTCAATGAAACCCCAATAATTATGCAGTAGGTATTTTTAATTTGGCCCATCATTGGTTTGGAGTTGGTGTTTTTAAGGCCTTGTGTTCCTTGTTATTGTTAAAGGGATGGTGATTGCCCATTGTGGCCTACTGCCTTCTGTGGGGAAAAAAAAGTTCTTCAGCACATTTTTATATTTTGACTTAAGATGTTGATTTATTCTACATCTCAAACAGGAGCGTACATGGAACACCCCATTGCATGGTTTGCAGGGGCTGGAGTGGCACAGGTGTTAAGGCACATGGTTGACAGCCCAGAGACTGCAAGTTCAAGGCCATAGCAGAAACGCTCATAGCGCGGTCCTGTCAGGTTCCAATAAATCTGCAAATTCTGCTGAATACCTTGTCACAAGGATGCAAAAAAAGAAAGACATGGTTTGCAATGAAACTTGCTGCCAAGACTGTCTTTGTAAGTTATGGTTAAATGCAAAAAAATGGGGTGGCAAGGTTCTGCTGTTCCCATACAATGGATGTGACCAATGCAATGGCTTGGTGGCACCTATAAATGCAGCAGAGAGAAGCCCACTAGAGAACCTATTTTCTTTTTTAAGCTTTTAGTTCTTTCTTTCCCCTTTTATCTTGCAGGCATATGAAAAAAGGTTCCCTACCTGTCCTCTCATCCCAATGTTTGTAGCTAGTGACACTGTAAATGAATTCAAGAGTGAGGATGGAGCTGTACATGTCATTGAAAGACGTTGTAAACTGGATATAGATGCACCACGATTGCTGAAAAAGGTAATCAGATGTTGAAATGGCTTTAGCTATGATATCAACCCACAGTAATGGTGTTCCTGACCAGTCTCTGGTAATCTCTCTCAGATTGCAGGAGTAGATTATGTTTACTTTGTCCAGAAGAATTCCTTGAACAGGCGAGACCGAACTTTGCACATAGAGGCCTACAACGAAACTTTCTCTAACAGGGTCATCATTAATGAGCACTGCTGTTACACGGTGAGTAACAGCTCCCATGTGTGGAGACAAGTTGGTATTTAGCATTCAAAACTGAGACTCGGAAGTTGTATTGGTCACAAAAAAATGATCCCCAGATTTCTGAAAAGAAACTAAAACACAAGGACAGTAGCATGCCTGTAACTAGGATCTGTTCAATAACACTTTCATAATTAGGAGCTTTTTTGTTGGCCATCAGAGATTAGGAGCATACCCTGGAGAATCCATGCATGCTTCTCTCGAAACTGAAGAGTTTTAGACTGTTGCTCGTCTCCCAGGTTGAGGCATGGAGTAAAAGCACTCACCCAGGAATGTCTGAAGGAGTTTGCAGAGGGAAGAGTTCTTTGCAGTTTGTAAAAATCCACTTTGAGGCTAGTCTTGTGTGATTTGCTCTTTCTTCCCTCCTCCACCATCCTTTTTTTGTAGTATTATCATAGGGCCAAGTATGCTGTTCCTTTTCAGTACTGATGAAGGTCCTTTATAGCTAAAGAGGCACTACTCTACTCTCCCTTGTACTGTTTTGCAAATAATTAGAGAATATATCTAAGCTGTGGTCACAGTGTAGCAGTGTGGACACATTATAGTATAAATATAAATTGTTAACTTGGGTACTGCTAGCAGTCTAGCCCATGATGAGCTCTTTTCTGCCACAATAGTGGACAGCTGACAGAGTGCAGGCTTCCTCCTAGGTATGTCAACAATGTACTGCAGTCACTTTGCTCCAGTGTAGACATACTGAGTGCAGTATTGCAGATGGGAACATGCCAGTTCGCCTTGTGAGTCTGAATAGTAGTTTCCCTCCTAATTCTTCTTAGCAGTGTGCTGTGACTGCCTTTTTTTGTGGAGACCTTTTGAAGTCCTTTTGGTTTGTTGTTGAATAAGCTCTTACCTTTTTCAGTTTGCCTTTGGCAAAAGGAGCCAAAATTTCAAATTCTTCTACTTACAGTGCATGTGATAAAGCAAGCATCAAAAATATGAAACTTCATAGTGTACATTTTTATATGGTATGTGAGAGTGCCAAAGGGCATCCAAACATTTATGTATATGGGGTTTCCCCTCCTAACCAACAGGTTCACCCTGACAATGAAGACTGGACCTGTTTTGAACAGTCTGCGAGCCTAGACATCAAATCTTTCTTTGGCTTTGAAAGCACAGTGGAAAAGATTGCCATGAAACAATACACCAGCAATATTAAAAAGGTGAGTTTAATCATGAAGTAGTTGTTAGGTTCTAGTTGGATTTGGTGTAGGTGCTGCTAACTAACGGTATGTGTATACTCACAAATTTAAGCTGACTTTTACAGCAAGGCATTGTGAAGTGGCTGTAAGCTTGTGGTGGGAGGAGTCTGGGATTGCTGGGAAAATCATACCTTGCTCGCAAGTGGAGACTTTAATGGTTTATGTTCTTTTTCAAAGGGAAAAGAAATAATAGAGTATTACCTGAAGCAGCTGGAGGAGGAAGGGGTAACATTTGTTCCCCGTTGGACTCCTGATGCATGTAAATTGGAGAAGAGCACATCTCTCACAGGCCGGCCAGTTTCCCCTGCTATCAACATACCAGATACTGCCACAAAGGAGGGGCTGAACAATAAGGAGATTCTCAACACCTCCAGCAGTCCATCAGAACCAACAGCAGGGACACCTGATGGTATCTCTTTGTTTGGCTACTTTGACTTTTCCGATTTATCTGTTTTTGGATTTACTTGGCAAGGTACTCAGGGCTATGCTGCTTGGATGTAGCTGAAACTCCAGACAATTGGTTTCATGCTCAGCATCAACATGGCCATTATAATAACTGGGTCTGGGAATCCTCAATTAGAAGTTAATCTGTGTGGGGCATGTTTGAGTGCTGTTAGTTGATCATGTAATTGAATGAATGTCGGTGTTTAAAAGGGGGAAGAAGGAGGAGGGCAAGAGAATCTTGCTAGGCAGCTGCACAGGAATAGTTTATACGCTCAGAGATTGAAGTGAAAAGCTCAGCACAATCTCCACCAGTCTGTTGCAGATAAATAGGCTTTCACCTATATATATTGGTGAACAAAATTAGGCCTTCATAGTAGAAGCCAGGAACTTTTACCTCTAAAGATTTGGACGGCGAGAACAAAGATTCTGTGAGCATTTCCAAATGAGTATGGCCCCTTTATTTCTAGCACTGTGAATCAGCAAATCTAAACTTAAGTGCCACAGGAAAATACCTAATTTTTCCAGATACTGAGTTTCAGCTCTTCCTTATTTGTGAAAGGACAATTCATATTCTCTGTCTGTACACACACTGTTTTATGGTTCTATTTACATTGCCATTGTCCATAACAAAGGACAGGTCTGTCTTTTTAGAGATCTCAAACTTGTTTAAGATCCCAGCTGTAAAAATCACTATGGTTGTACTACTGTATTTGAATACTAGCGGAAAGTTAGTTACATTTTAAAAGCTAAAGGATCAGTTTCTTTTTCTGACGTAAGTGCTGAATAAAGACCAACACAGCTACAACCTACACCCCTGAATAAAGAACTTGAATTTTCCCATCTCGTGTGGTAGACATAAGATCAGTTTTCAATTTTCCTAGCCATTGGTAAGACCTGTAACATTGAGTAAATTCTATTTCAGACAAGCTGGATGCAGACTACATCAAGCGCTATCTGGGTGACTTGACACCAATGCAAGAAAGCTGCCTCATTCGACTTCGACAGTGGCTCCAGGAGACTCACAAGGGCAAAGTAAGAAATTGGTCATCCCTTTTGACATCTGTGCTTCAGGCAAGAATGCATAGTCCTAATCGGGCTAACCACAGTGGTAGCAACTATAAGCCCAGGAGCTTGACAGACGAGTAATTTTACAAGTCTAGTATGTTGCCCTTTGCTTTGGCTGAATGTATGTGATCCTTACATATGCTTCTCTGAGTGTTAAATTCAAGTAGGACAGTAGATAGACCTGTGACTAGAACTTAAGTGTAGCTAGTTGCCTTCTGGGTGATCTTGTGCAAATCAATGCCCTCTTTCTGCTTCAGTTTCCCCATCTGCAAAATGGGATGATGCTGACCTTTTTAGTACAGTATTTTTGATATCGCTGATGAGAAGTTCTCTAAGTAGGTAGTCTTTAAGCTTATGTTTCCATTGCATATTGCCCTTCTGATGGTTGTCCATGGATGACTGCTTCTGATATTTATTTTACTAACTCTTTATCTTTCTGTCTTGGTATCTTATATGTTGGCATCCTCTGTAGTTAGCAGGAGTGTCCTATTTTTTCCTGTCTTTAGATCACTTCTAATCCCATGGTTTCAGTTGCCACTTGATTAACAGGTGTGTACGTGATCAGTAATTTATAATAGGTCTGACAGTTTTTGAATTGTGTGTGTATCTCCCTTGAATTCCCAACCACATCTTCATGTCTAGGTCAAACTTTAATTGTTGAATTCCCCTTTAAAAACAGGAATCCAGTCTGTAGTCTCAGGTAGCAGGCCTGTTGATCTCCAGTGTGGGTGATAAAAACCCATGCCTTTAAAAAAAAAAAAAAAAAAAAAAAAAAAAACCCCAAAAAACGAGCAAACCCGAAAACTTGTGCTCCTTTATAAGTTGCAGTTAAGTTTCCCTGTAATTAGGTGTGCAAGTCATTTTACTTCACTTTCAGCATTGTAGAAATTGGCTCTTTTGGCATCTCTCAAGTTTCAGCCATTTACCAGTAATTTATTTTCTATTAGATTCCAAAGGATGAACATATATTACGATTCTTACGTGCCCGAGACTTCAATATTGACAAAGCCAGAGAGATCCTTTGCCAATCACTAACATGGCGGAAACAGCACCAAGTAGACTATATTCTGGATACCTGGAATCCTCCTCAAGTTCTGCAAGATTTCTATGCAGGAGGCTGGCATCACCATGACAAAGGTACTTTTTATACTTGCAGATGCTGGTCATTTTGTAGTGTACACCTGCCAGAGCCACTTTGGTGGGCTGATGAACAAAATGAACTTTCAGGATGCACCGTACATAAGTACACTTGGTTGGTGTGGCTTAGGTGAGAGCAAACAAACAAGTAAGACTAGGTCCTACTTCCAGCTCTGACTGACTGAGCAAATAGCTTAACTTTTCTGAGATGTAGGTTGTAACCGTTCATCTAAGGACATAGGCAGAGAAGGTTCTTTGGGTGAATGTGATATCTTTTATTAGACCAACTTAAATAGTTGGGGAAAAAATTTTTTGCAAGGTTTCGGGTTTAAAAAACCTTTTTCAGGCTGAGGAAGTCTCTGCAGTTGGTGTGTGCTCTTCTTAGATAGAATGAATAGTAAAGAAGCCAGAGGCTGGGCCGGGTTGCGTGCAAGACGGGCTGTCAGTGAAGATGTAAAGTAAGGAGTCCGTGGGTGAGAGACGGGCTAGGTGGTGTGGGGGAGAGAAAAGGGGGATCACTGTAGCAGTTAAAGAGTGGAGAGGTACCTGGGGAGTCGGATGTCTTTCAGACTATAATGTGTCATAAATCTAATGTCTATGTTTAGTCCATTATTTATTTATTTATTTTTTTTGTATTCATGAGGTTAATGAAGTGAAGTTTGTAGGCTTTTCCCTGAGAAGTGTTTTGTAAGTTTCCTTTCACACCAACTGCAGAGACTTCCTCAGCCTGATGAAGGGTTCTTAAATCTGAAAGCTTGAAATTTTTTTTTCCAACTATTTAAGTTAGTCTAATAAAAGACATCAGATTCACCCAAAGAACCTTGTCTGCCTATTAACTTTTGAGGCACTTGTAAAATGGGTTGACCTGCTTAACAGTTGTTGTCAGGGTTATTGCTTGTACTGAGCTCTAAGTTGTACTGCACTCTAGGTTGAAAGCTGAAATGTAAGTGCTGAACATTACCTTCTTGTAGTGATTTAAAGATGCGTGTAAATAAGACTTTTTTTCCTAATTAACTTAACTCTGCCATCAGGCATGTTTGCTGATGACATGGACCAATCTTTGGCATTGCAGTTCACTAATGGGAGCTGTGATATATATGCCAAATAGCAAAGTTTGTTTAAGAAGTAGACTGTTGGATTATGGTCAAATTCACCAGATCCAAGGCCAGCTGCTGAAGTACGCACCCAGCTTGCTGCTGTGCACTGCTCTTGTTGCAGACCATCAAAATAGAAACATGTGGAATTTCTCTTCCCCCCACCCCATCAGTCACTTAGGGCAGGGAGTTTCCTTCTAACTGTTCATTTTGGAAAGGAAATAACCTCTCACTGCATATCTCCTGTGTTCTGAGTTGGCCTTTCCCTGCTACCCAAAATTGCTCCCACTGGAACTTCCTGTTACCAGAGGCATATGAAGTACTAGAAGAAATTTTTGTTAATAACGGGTGTACGGCAGGGAAGGCAAATTGGGCATTAAGACTTTTTCACTTTGTAGTGATTAATGGGTCTCTCCCGGCCTGTGGTTGGACAAATTCAGTTAGACAATAGCTTAAGGAAATCAGCAAGTTCCTAGATTTTTAAGGGAGGAATGTTATACAAGGGAAGAAATAAGAAACCTATTTGGATACTGCCAGTAACTAGGAAGGAAATAGATAAATCTGTCTGGGAATTGTTGGCATCAGAAAGCTTTCCAAGGTGAAGCAGAGGTTTGAAAAACAAGACTGCAGAACTCCTGGTCTTATCTTTCAATTCCTTGTGTTTCTTTTGTAAAGATTCCTGTTGAGGCGCACTCACAGCTGAGGGCAGGGCTTGCCAACATGTAAGATGTAGCAGATTTCAAACTGAGAAGCTCTCTACAATTTGAACCTTTTTACAGCCTGTGGGCAGGCTTTTTAACTTTTGCATTATCAGTTTTCCCCTCCTTTTGTCCCACAGGTGTAAAGTGTTCAAGACTTCAGCTAAATGGATACGTTTTAGCATTTTATCAAGGACCCATAGAGAGCAGCAGTTTTAAAATACGCTGCCTAGGATAGCTCTATTTCAAAGTTAAGGAGCAAACTATCAGTTTTACTTGGACATAAATGATTTAACATTCGTGCAGTTAGGGTAGCTTTCTTCTATATGCAAGTGGCTCTTATTTTGATAAGAATGTCTTAAGCAACAAGTTCTTACATAATTCATCAGAATTGTTTATAAGATAGGCATGTAATGTTAGGAACAAAACACTTGCAGTTAAAACAGTCTTCCCTCATGTATCATTTGGTTGGGGTGCAGTTACTAAACTACTGTATTATTTATGGCACTCTTCTAAGATGCAGCAGCCTTTTTGTAGTGCTTCAAAAGTTGCACTGCATATTCAAAAAATAAGATCTTTAGCATTAGTTAAATAACTCCAAGTACATAGTATCTTTTTATATACAAAGACACTACTTTATCTATAAACCAGTGGTTCTCAACTTTTAGTTCTGTGAAATCCCTTGGAAAATGCCAGTTCTTGGCTTCCGTTTTTTGGGGGGGGGTTACTGTGGAAGAATAACAGATTCTTCTGTAGCAAAGAACTGAGAGGCCACAACAGGTCACAATGTTTTTGACACTGTGGCATCCTATTTGAAACCTCTCTTTTGTGACTTGTGTGTAGGTGGCTGCATATCTAACCATGCTGATATTGTGTGGCATCCTTAAAAGTGGCACTCTGGTTGAGAACTGCTGCTCTAAGCTACACAACTTGAAACTTTTTAACTTTGTGAAACAGTGGAGGAATCAAAACTAAAGAGTAAAGTGATAGTTATTTGAAATGAAGAATAAGCTTAATGCTAACTTTTTAAGCACATGGCTTGATGGAGTTTTTCTTTTGCGTGTAAGAAAGCATACAACTTATAAGAACATGTATAGTGTGTTATCTTTAGTTTATTGAGTTCAGCTTTCTAAATTTAGGTAGCAGTTCTATTCATCTGCTTGCATTTTAAAAGATTACAAAGCAGGATGATCACTAGATCCCTCCAAAAGGGATCTTGGAGTCAATAATGACTCCAAGATGAACATGAGCTGCCAATGCCAGACCACGGCCAGCCATACCTTGTCATGCATCCAAAGGTGCATCTCAGGACAGTCCAGAGAAGTGATACTCCCCCTCTATGCAACTTTGGTCAGGCCGCAGTTGGAGTACTGCGTCCAGTACTGGGCGCCGCACTTCAAAAAGGAGGGCCACCTGCTTGGTGAGAGGGCAGCAGGACAGGCCCTACGAGGAGAGGCTGAGAGGGGACCTGGTGGCTGCCTACAAGCTCATCAGGGGAGATCAACAGCAAATAGGCAGAGCCCTTTTCTCCCCAGCACCACCTGTGGTGACAAGGAACAGTGGTAGTAAGCTGATGGAGAATAGCTTTAGGTTTAGAGATCAGAAGGCAATATTTTACAGTTAGGGTGGCCAGAATCTGGAACCAGTTTCCCAGGGAAGTGGTCCTCACCCCTACCTTGAGCAAATTCAGGAGGAGGTTGGATGATCACCTGTCTGGGGTCTTGTGAACCCAGCATTCATTCCTGCCTGTGGCGAGGGGTCAGGCTAGATGGTCTGTTCAGGTCCCTCCTGACCCTAGCTACTATGAAACTAGATCTTCTAAAACTCAGTTCTTCTGAAAGTTGATAAAACATTCATATTGAACAGTACAATGAAGCCTGCTCTCCCTTATTCTGCCACAGAAACTTGCACTTCCTCCATGCTGCCTTGGCTCTTTCAGTCAGTTTGGACTAGGTGGAGAACAATCTAGTAGATGCTTAAAAAAAAACGATTTCTTTCAGATGTCTCTTTGATGCAACAGACTTGGTATTTGAATTATATATGTAGAGAGGAACAGAACTGAGCATAGAGAATAGGATCTTTTGGTTATTAGAGGAAATGGTATTAGTTGTGTATCTAGACTATCATGCATGATTTGTATTCTAGGCAGGTTGAGACTTTAAACTTAGGTATAACCTGGTTTAGTGGTGTTGTTTAACAAAACAAGATCTCCATGATTACAGTTTTGTTTTGTTTTTTTTAATTAAAGTGCTTCGCACCAACTCTGTCTGTCCTGTATGTGTTCCAGTCCTGAGTGGCAATAATTTTATGCTCGTTGCAGAAAAGTAGGGAATTTTTTTTTCACTTTGTCCTAGATTGGAAAATCCATTCTCTTGCTGCTATCTAACATACAGCTCCTTGAATACTGTGAAGAAGAACCAAAAATACAAATTTTAGATTCTCAAAAATCAGCCTGTGCCCTTGTTCTCTGTCTAAGGCCTTTATATCAAGAATGTCATCTGGTCTTTCTGGCATGTGTTTGAGATTCAAGGGCACTTACCTTTTTCTCAGTAAAGGTTCTAATTAAAATTTGTCCCTGAAACAGGAATAACCTGTGCTAGTGAGGCAGTGTGCCAAGTTTGTATAACAGAACTGAAAGTCCCCAAGGTGATACTTCAACTAACACTGCAGAAATCAGTACTCTGAATCAATGCTTTATCACTATTTGCTCTCAAAACTAATTAATGCTAGTCTTTCCAAAAATTTGCCACAGGCAACTGGCTGTTCTGTGAGAGAGTATGTAAGATCTAAACTTTAACCAAAGGTCTGTGATGACTAAATTTCAGTCTAATAACTTAACTGTACCTTTCTTACCTGGGCTGCGCCTAAGGCTAACTTCAGCCCAGTGAGCTCAGGCTCACAAAAGTTCATTGTAACAGGCTGAGCTAGTCCTTTGAGAGAGCAGGCAAAGAAGCCCATCTGTGGGCATCTGCATAATGAAGGTATGTCCCAGTGGAAGCTTAAAATCCCAAAGGAGAATGGAGAAAGGGGCAAGCTGGGTAAAAGAGCAGTTTGCAGGCAAGAGGCAAACTGACTGACCGGACAAGCTTGTGCCCGGGAAGCGATCTCGCTAATATGCTGGGGCCAGAGTTAGAGGGCCCCTCCTACTGTCCAGAAGGGGGCTGAGGGGTTTTGTTTGTTGGCTTCTCTATTTGATTTGTGTTCAGAGACTGGCTTTTTTTTCCCACTTTATTTTTATTTGAAGGGCTGTCTGAGGAGCTCTTTTTAGGGAGTAAAGCCAACCTGTAAAGGCTAGCAAGCTAAGCCACCCACTTATTCACACTGTACATCTGATTTAGGTAGTCTAGAAGGTGCAAATCTACCGAACCTTCTACGATCTCTGCATAAATTGTGCCATACGTAATAGTCTTATCTAATCAAAATCACTTAGTTGCATCTTCACTAGGAAGATGAGTGGTTTTTTTTACTGTTGGGATAGCTGAATGTCCTAATGACGCTGAGGTTGTCAGCAAATCTTACCTTGATATAACTAGCAAGGTAAACACAACACACCACATTTGAGACTAGCTTTAGCAAAGGTAAAAGCTGCAGTTGGCAAAATCGCTCTTAAATTTGTTTCAGTTTTTTAATCTAATATTTAACATAGAGCATTAACAAAAAGCTGTGGGGTTTTTAAAAATAATTAGGATAATTTCAATATAACACAAAGGTGAGTGCTAAACCTTTTTTCCTTTTCAGATGGGCGCCCGCTATATGTGTTGAGGTTGGGACAGATGGATACCAAAGGCTTAGTACGAGCTCTTGGGGAAGAAGCCTTGCTTCGTTATGTAAGTGTTTTGAAGAAGCTTTGTTTGATGTTCCCATTTAGTAGAACATCCTGTGATGCCAGAATGATTGTTGCATAGCATGTTTTGTTTTTTTTTATTTGTTCTGTAGCAATCTGTTTTCAGTTTGAACAGACCGAGCCTCCCTAAATGCTTGGATTTTAGCATTCTTACCAACTGTGAACTCGTGGCACCAAGGCATGGTTCTTGGCTATCCTGGGCTGAGACCTTTTAATAATTTCTTAAGTAGTTTGTACGGTGCTTGAATCTTAAATCTACACTTGCACAAGGCAAGAGGTGCCTTGTTTGAAGTATTATATGTAATTTTTATGTATGAAATATCTCCCACCCAGTTTTAAGATGCGCATTATTTTTAAAGGAAAATTACTTGCCTGTGAACTATTTTTACAAAGGCATCACTGTGGGATTCTTGTTACTGACATGCAAAGTTTCCTAGCACAAAATGGGCAGAATCCCAAGGCTTGCGAGTTGTGGTGGTTTGTTATCTTAATGGCTGGAATAATGGTCATGGTCCCAAGCCAGCCCCTAATTCTAGTAATCATTCACATTGTGTTTCTAGTTGTCCTGTTGCATCTATATGTGAAGTTTTTGTCTGCTATCAGAAAAAACATGAACTTAAATCAGTGTTTTGGTTATATCTTCCTTCTTTTTTGAAGGGACCTTTTTTATTTTCCTGTTCACTCTAGGATTGGAGGGAAAGTCTCTTTCAGAGTTTGTCTTCAGCTAGAAAGCTGAGATTCCCAGAATGAGACTTCTGTGTAAATAATGGTGTCTTTGTAGAAAGACATCTTTCACTGATCGTTGTCAACAAACTAAGAATCCCATGTAACAGTTGTTCCAACAAATTGAGTACTTGTTAAACATTCATTTGCCCCTGGGAAAAGACAGAGCTAAGATTTTGTGCAGAGATCTTTACCATAGCATCTGAATACAACAGGCAAAGGAGGTGGTTTTTTGTTTTTGTTTTTTAATGTTTGTTTTTAAGCATTTATACCCTTCCTTGAATTATTGCACTCAGTGCTACTCTTTAGCCCACCATTATGTGCCTTAATGTAGGCATCATTTTACATGGTTTTGAAGTTATTTTGATAGGTTGTTCAAAACCTTCAGATTGTAAAACTTTAATTTTTCACCCTAGCTACATCCAGGCAGCAGTTTTAGAATGCTTCCTCTAAAACAGCTTGCTCTTTTGTGTAGGTTCTCTCTATAAATGAAGAAGGACTGAGGCGATGTGAAGAAAATACGAAAGTATTTGGCAGGCCTATAAGGTAAAACACTGGAAGGCTACTATTCAGAAATAACCTGAGGGGGTGGCGTGTGTGTATATTTAAACTTTGACCACGGAACTGCATTTATTTCTAGGGTCCGTGCTGCATTGTGGTTTGCTCTCGCAGGCTCTTATCCCCAAAAATGTAATTCAGAATGTGGAATGACTGGATTATTTGTCTCCTTTAAAGCCATCTTTATTCTGTCATAAAACACTGGACTCCCTTCAGAGTCTGAGTCTACCCTTTTAATCTGTGTAAAGTATTTTGGAATGCATGGCATTTCCGTTCCTTACCTTCTTACTGCCGGGGAACTTAGCCCAAGCTGTCTTAATTAGTGAGAAATGAAATCTAAGGTTTGAATTGTGCATATAAACCTAAGACCTTTAGCTGGCCAAAGGATTTAAAGGTCAGGGTAGCAGTGGCAACCAAATATGTAGCAAACACTTAAATGCCAAAAGACTTTGGTTCATCTGAGTCATGCAGCATCGAACTACAGGTCTAGAGTGAATTCAGACAGCTATACATGTATAAGGATAAGCCCTAAATGCATGTTCAGGTAAATTGCTGATTCAGAAAAACACAAGAGCATGTGCTTAAATCCTATTGACCTTAGTGGGATTTAAGTGTGTATTAAACATCCCTGGATTGGGATGCGTTCTGAAATGTAATGGGATTATTAAAAAAACCCCACACCATTATTAGATGATATGCCCAGCATATGAAGCACTTTGGCCTGAGAGTAACTTCTAGAAATGTTATTTCTATTAAGCTCAGTGATTTAACCCTTATTAGGCACTATGGTGATGTCTTGGTGTTTTGCTACCAGTAATTTTTTTTAATTGGCCTTCAAAATGTCTGTCATATGGTGACATGCGTGCCATATGTCAGCATTTACTCTGTTATCTTTTTTTTCTTCCTGCCTTAACTGAGTATATGGGGCATATTGTGAAATCCTTTAATGTTAAGAAACCATTTCCACTACAGTCTCCTGCATCTTCAGGAAGCACAAAATGTGAAGAGGAGTTGGGACTGAGTTCTATAACTAAGTACTGAAGGGAGAATGTAGCCTTGCCAAAACTTGTAGATCTCTGAGACTGGAACAGAGTACTTACAGTCCAGAACATCCAACTGATCTTATTAGTAAAAATATTCAGTGGGTTTCTGTTAGAAAAAAGAAAAGAAAAATCTTGCTTTAAATTTGACAGCTCGTGGACCTGTCTGGTGGATCTGGAGGGTTTGAACATGCGCCATTTGTGGAGACCTGGTGTCAAAGCTTTACTGAGGATCATTGAAGTGGTTGAAGCCAATTACCCTGAAACATTGGGTCGTCTTCTCATCCTGCGTGCCCCCAGGGTTTTCCCAGTCCTTTGGACACTGGTACGTTTGTACGGTATTTTAACAGGTGGTAGGCAGACCACCAGCCTTCCACACTAACTTAAAGGCAGTGCTAGAATGGCAGCCCCCCAGGAAGTCTGCTTCTTGCCAGCAGCAGCCACTGAATGCAGGGACATCGTGCTGCTGCTGTAGTAGATGCGTCTGGGGACTCGTGCCCCCTGCCCTGTGTTCTGGCCCCCTTCCCTTCCTTCTGCTCTCCAGCAGGGTTTTGTTCAGGGCACAAACCTTGCTAATTATGCCTCTGTCTTGTAGTTGTAGTAGCCACACACCTACCTCACACTTCTCAAACCTAATATCTAGTGTACTATAATCAGGAAATGTTCACCACTTGGAAATTTAATGTTTTGTAGGACACTTAATTTCTGAAATTAGAACAAATTCCTAAGAGGAAAACAGGCTTATGCGACAGAAATAAGTTAGTTTATTTATGGTATCTGCTTGTGCTTCGTATGATAAATCACTTCCAGAGATTTCTGGGGACCTGACCAGTTTTGTGTTTTCTTTGTTTTTATAGGTTAGTCCATTCATTGATGACAACACTAGAAAAAAATTCCTGATTTATGCAGGGAATGACTATCAAGGTCCTGGGGGGCTTCTGGATTACATCGATAAAGAAATTATCCCAGATTTTCTTGGCGGAGAGTGTATGGTAAGGTTTTAAACTATTGTGTGTTACAGGGGTTGTTTGCAGGAGGCTTTTTTTTCTTTCACACTTATATAAAACACAAACCTGGGAACACAGATGGGTTATATTCTGCAATCAATCCTGGAACAAGACTGCACTTACACAACTTAGCTAAAATGAAAATTATTTAACTCCCAGGATAGGAAGGAGTGGGTTTCTTGTTCCAGTAACAGCCTTCCAGAAGAGAGAAGATGATCACAGATTTGCTAAAATTATAACATACAAAGTACACAAAAGCTACAATAATTGGAGGGTGATATCCTTAGCCAGTAGTGCTGTGTTAATGGTGCCTACCACATAGCAGGAAGGCACTTCTTAATGTGCTTAGCCTCCAAATCCATGTGTAATGACAGAAGACCCCATTATAATCATATAGTCTGACTTCTTGCATAATACAAACCCAAGAACTTCATGCCCAATAATTTTTGCATCAGTCTGTGAATCTCCCAACTATTTCTGAATAAACAGATACTTAAGGGTTTGAATACCTTACCAAAAAATCTCTTAAATTCTTATTAGTTTTTAAAAAATCTACATAGGCTGTGATTTTTAGATTCTCTAGCTCCACTCATGGTTTTTAAAGAGTATCAAATCACCTATAAAGATGCATATTGAACCTCCTCAGTAATGGTACCTGAATTCACATTGATTATGAAAGCTCTGATCAAAGAAAGGTCTGACAGTTTTAGGAGGCAGTAGTTGAACATCAGAACTGAATCACGAGCCTTGCTTTCATAAAGAAAACTGGTGATGTCAAAGATAATTAAGTTGGTTTATATCAGGATTCTTCAGCTTGCAGGTCTCTGCATTTTGAAACTTGGATCCAAGTCTGTTTCTCAGACCCTTTCTTCAGATTGCCATTAGGAACAGCAGAGCCTTTTCAACATAACTTGCATTTCTTTTGCACCCTCCCTTAGGAATATTGGGACAAGTTACAGCCTTTAACCTTGCAGTAACCTGAGTGGTAGGAAAGTATTCATGAGTTTTATGGCTGGGGAAACTGAAGCAAAGTTAACTTCTTATCTGAGTCCATGAATGGTGTGTGCCCCTGGCGGCTGGGGGGGCGCACAGCAGCGCCGGCAGGAGCATGGCGGCGGTGAGTGGGGAGCTCCCTCAGATGCTGCCAGCACTGTGGGGGAGGGGTGGGGGGATTGCGAGCACCAACCATGGTTTGGCGACCACCCACAGGCACCACCGGCAGCAGTGGCGGTGGCCAGGGTGATCATGGACTGCCCACATGCAGCCAGGTGGTGAGCGGTGACCACTTGCAGGTGCTGCCGACAATGTCGGCAGCACCCTTTTGCAGTGGGTGAACCCCACACGCGTCGCCGCTGTCTGAGGCCACAGCTATAGAAAGGCAGTTGCTTCACCAAGAACTGATCCCCAAACTGTTCTTCCTGGAGCATGTATTGATATGGATCCTGCTGTAGGCAGGTATGTGTCATGCACAGATACCAGATTATTTTGACTAGCAGTTTCATGAGTTGTGTCTTCATATCCCATTTAAGGGCAGAGTGGCTGCAACTCTGCCTCAGTTCCCTTCCTGCCCAAGGCAGTGAGATGGAACCTAGCCCATTCAGGCACCTCTGAGCACTGCAAAATGGTGGACTGAATAAACCTCAGGCTTAAGTCTTGCTTGTCCTGTGGTGGATAAAAATCTCAAGGATCAAAAGCTGCAGGTACTTGTTCTGTTGGAATAATGCAAGCTGAGTAAATGCTTGGTATGCTTATCATTCTCTGCGAGAAATTGTACTTTGTGAATTTCAGGATTGGGATTGAAACTCCACCTCCTGGAAAAGTCTGAGGCTTGCAGGCACCCATTCTGATCACACCTGTATGTCCTGTGCTTCATCATGCAGCTACACAATGCTTGAATCTCTATGGTGCAGTTACTGTCAAGACTAGACCTGGCAGCTTTGGCACCAGTCAACAGCAGAACACTAGCGACCAAGATGGTTTTTAGGTCAACCACATCAGGCAGCAGTACAGTTCTCTGGAAGCAGAGAAGACTGAAAGGGGACTTTAATAGCAGTCTTCAACTACCTGAAGGGAGGGTTTCAAAAAAGGGTGGAGGTAAACTGTTCTCAGTAGTGGCAGGTGACAGAATAAGGAGCAATGGTCTCAAGTTGCATCAAGGGAAGTTTAGGTTGGATATTAGGAAGAATTTTTTCACTAGGTGGGTAGTAAAACACTGGAACAGGTTACCCAGAGAGGTGCTGCAGTCTCCATCCTTGGAGGTTTTCAAGACCTGGATTGACAAAGCCTTGGCTGGGATTATCTAGTTGGGGATGGTCCTGCTTTGAGCAGGGGGTTGGACTAGATGACCTCCTGAGGCCCCTTCCAACCATAATTTTCTATGAAAGAAGTGACCCCCAAGTACCAAGGCACCATCTTAGAGAGGAACTCTGTATTTTCCAGGGAGACATGAAAAGTCATCTGAGGCAAACTACTAGGTCTCTGATTGAATCAAATGCTAGCAGCGAGGAGCAGGCTTGTTCTTGTGTCCCAGTACCAAGAGTGCCTCCTTCAATATTGACTCTAGTAGCGGGAGGAAGTGCACCTGCTAATATTAGCACAGACATTACTGATGTGGTGCCCATTGCAGCACCAGTACAGGTGGGCCTCTCGCTGTTGAAGTAAATATTGTCCCTGGCATCCAGCACAGAACTATCCCCCATAACGTCCAGAATTATATTGTCAAAAGACCCAAAGGCTTTTGTACAACTCAGCTGCCTTCTCACCAGTGCTGGTGTTGGTCTGGTTGCCAGCCAGACAACCTCCAGTATGTTACAAATGCCATTTTGGAGTTACTATTTTTCACCTTCCCAAACATGCTGTTGTCATGAAGAAGAAAATGCATCCCTCTGCAAAAGCTGCTAGCTATACTTCAGGTGCTAGAGCACAGAAGAGCAGAACTTGTGTACACAACTCTTAGTGTGTCACCTAACTTGCCAAAGACCTTTTCTTCCAATTACTGGATGAAGTGGTAACGAATACCAATGCCAGGGATTTAGAAGGCATGTCAAAAGCTTTTTATGCAGATGGGAAACTATATTTTTATATAGGTTTATTGTTTTTTAAAAAAGCATCTTAACAAAAAACGTATGATTTAAATTTTAAAAAATCTTTTTTTTTTTTTTCAATCCACCTTGCCTGGAGTATTCTATTGACCTACAAGCATTATGCACTTAATACAGGAGCCGGGCCAGATGCACAGCTCCAAGTGATTGTCCGTATTTGTGGTATTCCAATCTGATGCATGGGCACCAAAAGAACACTTTGTCTAAAGCATCTGCTCCCCAAACTCCAATCTCCAAAGCTTTCCCCCAGCCTTCCCACCAGTGGCAGGGAAGGGACCAGAGCAACCAATAGACCTGATTCCTTCTCATTGCCCAGAACTGGAATTGTGTTGGACCAGTTATTTAAGATACTTCTGTTATTAGTCTTTCTTTAAATGTTATTAACTTGCTCTTCTATGTTTCATGGGGATTCTTCTGAACTCTTTTTGGTTCTTTTGAACTCTTTCTTTTTAAGATGTTGTCTGTTGTAATGTAGTGCTTGCATATTAGGCATTTTGGAACAGTGCCTTTTTATTTTAAAGAGGCAGCTACTTACAGTAGCCACGGCTTGTAGTGGAGGAGTCTGTTCTTTGTAACTTACAACCATGTCGGTCTTTTTCAGGTTGTGGCAAAATTCACTGCTTAAGTAAGCAAAAGTGACTGTTGCTACAAAACAAATCAAAATATTGCAAAGGTCCGTGCCAGTTTTGGAGAACAGTGAGAGATCCTACTCTTCCTGGTTAGCTTCCTAATAAAGCCTAAGTCTTTTAAGAGCACAAGTGTAGGAGTTGCACAGCTGTCACCTGCTGTGACGCACATAAAATAGTTTTATGTCTTGTATCCTGTGGTCGGTGCAATTCAGTAAAGAGTAGAAAGTTAAAATAGCTGTATCTTTAGCTGTGACCCCTATTTGGAGAACACACATCATGGCTTGTCAACTTTTGGTTCAGGCATGCCAAAATATTAGGGCTGTGTGAAGCTTCGCATGGTGATTTGATTCAGAGGAGTTACAGCCTGATTTTTAGTGGCCGAATCTCCGAATCTGAATTGCATCAGGGGACCAATTTAAAGGTCCAAATCGATTCAAAGCTCTCCAAATCTTCGGAAAAGATTTGGAGAGCTTCGATGATTTGGGTAGTCCCTGGTGGCTGCAGCCAACTCCAAGCTGTTAAGTACTAGGGGTGGGGGAGGTGGGGCTGAAGAAGGGGAGAGGGGACCATGGGGGGGATTCATAGATTTCATAGACATCAGGGCTGGAAGGGACCTCGGAAGATCGAGTCCAGCCCCCCCACCCAAAGAGCAGGAAGTCAGCTGGGGTCATAGGATCCCAGCAAGATAAGCATCCAGTTTCATCTTGAAGGTGTTCAGTGTGGGCGCTTGAACCACCTCCGGTGGCAGGCTGTTCCAGACCTTGGGGGCTCGGACAGTAAAGAAATTCTTCCTTATGTCCAGCCTGAAGCGATCTTGAAGTAGTTTGTGACCATTCGACCTCGTCATCCCTTGGGGCGCTCTGGTGAACAAACGTTCCCCCAGATGCTGGTGGTCACCCCTGATAAACTTGTAGGTGGCCATCAGATCACCCCTGAGCCTGCGCTTTTTCAGGCTAAAGAGCCCCAGGGCTCTCAGCCTGTCATCGTAGGGTCTGCTTCCCTGACCTCTGATCATGCGCGTGGCTCTTCTCTGGACTCTCTCAAGCTTCTCCACATCCTTTTTGAATTGTGGAGCCCAAAACTGGACACAGTACTCCAGCTCCGGCCTCACTAAGGCCGAGTACAGGGGGAGAATGACGTCCCGGGATTTGCTTGAGAAAACTCCACAACTCCAAGGAGTTTCAGTTTGCATCCCTGGCTGCCGCAGCTCCTGGTACTTTAAAGAAAAGCCTCAGTGCTCACTGGGCGCTGCTGGGCGGGGGGAGCGATTCCCACTGCCCCGTGCTGCATGGTGGGGGTGCTGCATGGGTGCCCCGCCTGGGCCAGCTCCAGCACTTTAAGTGGGGAAAAAAGGCTGAGTAAAGCCACAGGACTCACCGCTCCTGGTGTGGTCTTGGGGCTTCAGGTGGCTTGTGCAGATCCCCCCCACGTGACGTGGGACAAGGGGGGGGCGGGGGCAGTGGGGATTGCCCCCTGCTGGCAGGAATGTAGTCTGGGGGGGTTG